GGCACATGATGGAAAGAAAACAGTTTGATAAGTAAACATTTTCAGCAGAATCGCTTCTGGAGCGACCATCTACTTTGTGTGGGTAGGGACGGAAAGGACTTTGGCTTTCCACCTCTGAGACCAAGAGCTACAACTAAAGGCAATGCAGTTCCCATCAGAAAACACGCCTTTATCTTCCAAAAAACATGTCAAATTGAGGTGACAGAGGCGGGAGTCCTAGACAGGAGCAGCTACAGGGGCAGAGCTTTCACGTCACGGAGAGCTTGTCAGGGATGCTCGAGGCGGTGCCCAGGGCGTTCCCCGACCGTCAGGGCCCCTGCCGCTGACCGCAGGCACCTGCCATTTAGCCCTTCTCTTCCTTTGGCCACAGGTTTGGGTTTTTTTTTTTTACAGTTTACTCAGCTTCTGAAAGTAAGAGAACAGTCAAAAACTTTTGGGGAACATTTGTCCAAGATCCTGGAAGGAAAGCACTACCTTCCTGGAGAGCTGAGGAGGGTCTAAGCTATCGCAGTGGATGGGATTTAAAACCAGCCCTCTCATCTAGTCTGTCTCACCAGGCTAGTCCTGGGCAGCTCCCTAAAGCGAGGGCTGGTTGTTTTGGATTCCCAGTCTGAAGTGCCAAATGCAGCACTGGATTCCACTGGATCCTTTTCATGGCTCTGGCATCCGAGAAGGAGATCTTAAAACATTTGTCCTTCATCATCTGCACGGCTTGTTCAATCCAGGCCCTCACTCCTAAAATTGAGAATAAGATGGTACAGTGTAAAATCTTCCCTTTCAAGAAAGACGTTCCAAGCCAGCTTAAAGTGTTTAGGATGTACTATTGCGGTCCTTACAACATTGAACTTGAGCCTCAATCTTTCACATATATCCTACTTGACGGTGGTTCCAAAACAATTTGAAGCCTGTTTCAGTTGCACACAATATTTAACAGACCAGAATTTCCAATTAAATTTGACAAAACACAAACTACCGCATAATGATTCAGAATTTGTGTATTACTTTGTGTAATGCAAGGCTAAAAGATAGCGTTAGTTGTGCTACCTGTCTGGGAATGCAAACACGATGTCCTGCTATAGATTTGTCTGAGACCATACCCTTCAGGTAACTCTCTGTTCTCATCATCATTCCCAAACACATCATTAAACATACAGTTTAATAGGTGCTGAGCATGGACGTGCTAGTGTGACATTTAATTCTTCCTATGAAATTGCTGCAGACACCTATGACAGAAATTTACTACGATATTTCATCCTTCTCTCGAAAGGTACAAGCGCTCCTTCTGTATTTAGTGGGCACTTTACTGGGTAGTGTGCATATGTGTATATTGACATATACAAATGCTTGTGCCTCTTTTAAACACAACAACATGGCCTCTGGAAGTAGCGCACTTGTCCAGTAAAGAGACATATCAGAAGTAAGGGTTGGTGCAACCCCAGTGTAACTGAATATTTGCAAGGTAGTTTTGGTTGCGGGGAGAGGAAGGGATTTTTTCCCACTATCAGCCACCTGCTTTTTAATATAGGAAGGAAAAAAAATTGGTTCATTACAGATAAGTGAAATGCCTCATTATTTCCTCACAGTACTCGATGCTGTAGGAGCTTGCTGTAACCACTTTCTGCAGTCTATTTCCCCTTTTTCTTTGCACACTCTGTGAAAACAAGAGGAGAAATGTACTAGACATGGTCACTTCCTTCTTTCCTGACCTCCACTGTAAAAAAATGAAAAGAATTTCCTGGAAGGAATATGCTATATTATGTGAATGCAAGAGACAGAAATGTTAGGGGTTTGGGGTTTTTTTGTTTGGGGTTTTTTTTTGGTTGTTGTTTGGTTTTGATGGTGGTCTTTTGTTGTTTTTTTTTTAAGAAGGCTAGTTTCCTATTGGTTAGTGTATTACTGGATCTAGTAAAAATAGAATAATTTTATCACAGAATTTTAATCATGAGTATTGTATTTTAAAACTAACCCTATTAGCCCACTAGCCAGTGAAACTGTGGTAACTAGAAACAGGACTGGAGACAGTCACCAGTATGGTAACTCTGTTAGATATGAAGGATTTTTCAAGTTCAGGTAAAATGAGACTTCAGTGCTTCTCTCTCCTAGCAACAAATAGTAGAGATACGTCAAACACATAATAATTCCCACCTTGCCATTGGCTGCAGTTTTCTTTTTGTTGTCCCTTCTCATTGATGTGGGTTTTTTTCTTAAGTGAGTATCTTCTAGGAAACAGCAGCATGCATCTCATGGAATTGTTGACAGCTGCACTTTAAAATACATTTTTGAGAAGAGAAGCATTAGTGTGTGCCAGCTGAAAATCCTAGAATTCAAGAGAGCAGCTTTCAAAACACTGATGTAGCATTCTCCCATACCACGCTGTCCTGGAAATCATAACTGAGCCGTAGGTAGGTGAACCGGGAGGTGAAGTCTGAAGGTAAATCTAGGTAATCTCTTGGCTAAACTGCAACATTTGCTTAAACTGGACTACAAAATACAATTTTACAGATGGATATTTCTGTTCACAAGCTCATCTTGACACAAAACAGTGTAATATCAGGTCTATGGTCCTAATACTAGAAGTCAGTTAAAAGATTTCTACTTATTTCCAACAGTCAGGACTCTGCATTAGGGTGAGAAAGGTAAAATCAGTGGCAGGGTAGGTAAATTGTCTAGGTAAAGCTAGATACAGAGAGGTAGAGAAAATAGCCACCTCTGCTGGCTTTTCCCTCCTGCCTGAGGCAGCCCGAGAGCTCACCTGGCTGCTTGCGGATCAGACATCTCCAGCACCTCCAGAAGCCACAGGCCACCTGAGCTGGCTTGCAGGGACCATGGCAGGGCTGCGAGGTGGGAATCCCCCGAGGCAAGACCCCAAAGGACACGTCTCTCACTCCTCTCTCAGCAGTGCCAGCTTCTCCATGCTTAGTGATCAGGTCAGCCCTCTGATCCAGCGACCGAAAACTGGTCCCAGGAAAGAAATGCTGGTGGGGAAACACAGGAGAAGAGATGGAAACCTGCAGCAAGGGGTGAGAGAGGGATCACCCCTTTCTGTGCTAGTGGGAAATTAGAGCAGTGTAAACCAGTTGCGAAACTGCCTCCTTCGGGACCTGGAATGAAACTGCTCTTAAATTGCTATTCTGGCCTTTACGATACGAAAAATCTGTCATGACAGTTGCATTAATTTTGAGCCCGGAAATAAAACAATCCCGTGACCCCGATATTCAGTGGAAAAATGAATTACTCACTTGTTTTCTTCTCTTTTGGACACTTTTATCTTTGGCTGCTTTCAGCCAGCCATCATTGTGTGATGTCAAATATTCCTGAGTTTTTATTTAACTCACACTATGGGATGGTTTACAGGGATGCATTTTGGGATGATAGTGGAAAATAAGAGTGGAAATAAAAGTGATGTTTTTCTTCGAAGCTAGAAATACTTTTACAAAAGTTAAAATTATTTCATGCTAAATGTAGCTTCTCCCTCTCCCTGGTAAGATCAAAGAAGCTCTCTGGTATGCATACCAGACTGAATATCTATTTTAGCTCTGTAGAGCCACTTGAAAGCTTTCTAGGTGAGTAGTACTGCTATGGTGGAGTTGTTGCAAATGAAGAGAGAATATCTACTTTAAAAACCACATAAGCACAGAATTATGTATTCTTTTTAAAGTGAGTATTTACCAAGTTATTAGTCATGAAGCTTTTCTATATCCTTCTATTGAGAAGAATCAGAGACTGAAGAATTAGTTTATAAAAAGTTCTAACTGATTTTGTTTTCTTCATTAGTGCTTGATATCAGGCAAATGCAATGAAACTGCTGGGATATTTTGTCAGAATCTGATTACTATTCTCAAAGTTGTCACACCTATAAAAACGATTTTTTCTTTAGCAGACAGGTGACACCAATGCAAGAACAAATAATATTGGGAGAAAAGTTGAACATATTTCAAATGACTGAATATGCTGGACAGAAGAGATCCGGTTTAACTATGAAAGAGCTTCTATTACAGACTTTAAGATCCTGATGTTGTAACTGGAGTGTGCAGTCACGCTGCTGTACCGTGTCCCTTGAGGAGAAGGTTCATCCACTATCATCCGTTAAATCAGAGCTAAGTTTCTCCTGCCTCAGAAGTGTTGCAGTCCAACTGACTCTACTTCAGGTTCTCTCATCTGCAGTTACTGATGACAAGAAAAGGAATAAACCTAGGTCTCTGTGCTTAAAAAATACCCATACTTGATCAAATGAAGAATGTTAGAAACAATAGAGATAACAGCTCTTGGGTAGCTTTAAAATAACTAGGAACTTAGACTTAACTGCAGCAATTATCATGAGAGATTAGACCCTTCTTTCAGTGCCATGAATTACTGATTCTTTTGTAAACCTGCATTTCAGAAAGCTAGTGTTTACCATTTTGCTATGCTAAGAGTATCTGTTCATGTCATAATCTCTGTCATGTTGAGGACAAGATTTTAGCCAATACACAAAACAGGGGCAGGAGAGAAGGGGAGAACGAGGCGGCAGAGAAGAGATTGTAAGTCTGAACTCATCCGCTCTCCATTCCCTCCATTCCCTTCACGTTGTCAGCTGCGTCCAGCTCCAGACTTGCCTCATCGTAAAGCTCCAAGAGGGGATTTCATAAAAGTAGAGCAAGTGACTAAACCAATTTGCCCTCTTATCTGCAGTGTGTAACTCCCTCTATGTACTAAAGGCAGGTGCTGGGCTGATGGCCTTGCCCTGGGAAAGAAACTTTACTAACATCATGCTATTAATGGCTTCCTGGAAGAAAGTATGATGGGAACACAAAGGCCCAAGTTTAGATAAATAAAACACATGGACATTTGCTTTGGGTTCTAATCTTCAAAATTGTGCAAACAGACAGAATTCCCCCCTGTTTATCTTAAGAGTATTGTATTTAAAAAGCAAACGACTAACAAATCAGTGCTGTTGCTGGAATACAGCAATTTGACTTAAATAGACGCTTTAAAAGGCAGCTTGCATTCTCCAGTAAGATGCATTTTCTACACACTACCTCACACATGCTGCACAAAGGAAAACCTATGTAACAATATATCCTACACCAGTAGCAAATGGAAGCAAGAAGAGGTTTATGAGAAGGGAGAATGTCTCTTATTAAACCAGGTAATATATGCAAAAGGAACAAACCTTCAGACACAGAAGTGATCTGGTTTGTATATCAGAAAGCTCGTCTAATAAATCACAGTATAGCATACAAAAAGACTTATTTTCTTTCATTTATTTCTGGCTGATTTAATCAAAGGAAAGGCTTGGAAATGTACCAAACAGTTAAATGACTCATAATGTCATTTTACAAGGAATTAGTTGAATAAGTATAAAGTTTTCCATACAATGTTACTCGGACTCGCCACTCAAAAATAAATACAGAAATTTCAAAAGTGAGTATACAAGTTGGTAGGAAAATATGAGACTGACTAATGAAGTGAAGAGCAGAAAATGCAAATACTTTTTATTAGGCTCTGCTCTTACACTATTAAATGAGACATCGATCCCGTTCCAGGGTAATTAATATTTTTCATGGCCAACATTAAAAGCTAGTTTCTGTTTCAGCCTGCTTGGGGCCAGGACAGGCTGGGATATCCCACACCAAAAATACAGTTTGTTAACTGAACCATTTCTGTCAGCAACAGGGAAAAAAAACCAAAACAAACTGAAAAAACCCCAAATCCAAGAAAATTTTAAAGGTGTACGTTCCTAAGGCTTTTCTGATGTTTTGTGCTACAAGAGGTGCTACTGGCTGCTTCCCATCAGCAAGGAATATTCTTTTATTTTTCCTTACAAGCAGAATCTCAGATAGTTGACCGGGCAACTTAATGACTGTATTTTCAGGGCAGAAGAGAGCAGACAGATCAGAATCCTGCTCTGACATGCTGTGTAGCGAAATTAGTCTCTTTCCAGTCACAACAGAAAAAAACCTAGAAAGGTCACCATCCCTAAGATTAAATTAGCTTGCATAATTCCTGTTCAGCTGTGAATCAGTCAGCAAGATTTGATTCATTTATATATTCAAGGGCACTCTGATAGCCTGTGCAAAAAATACCTCCTCGGAAGCTGAACACTGATTTGTAGATTTTATTATTTTAAAGTTACTCAGTATCAATCTGTCCTCTGAAGGACTTTGAGCTGCATTTTTCTTCTTGCATATCTCTGTGAGGAAAGGCTTTAAAACATCCCTTAATATAAAGGCTATTTATTGTTGTGGTTAAGACCCTTTGTGTTTGCTGCTAGGATCATCTCAGCACATCTCGTCTCACCAATTTCCTGATGCTACAAGGCCGTGACGTAGCCATGGCACCCTCGTTTTCCCTCCTCAGCACCTCAGCAAGTCACAGTACGTAAGGCTATAGTTACACTGATGGCTGAATCCTTCTCTCTTCCAGAGCATTCCAGACTCTGGTCACAAGTATTACCTGCAGTTCACTACCGAAGACTACAAAAGCGGGGTGAGTTTATGGCCCACCACGTTTCTTCTGACAGCGTGCGTTAAATGAACTTTAACATCTCCAAAACAGGGTACATTTAATTGCTTTCATAAATGGATCTTTCACAATGGAAAGACTTACCTTTATGCTTCTACCTGCCTGGGGCACGGTTTGCTCTTCGCATCACCCGAGTATCTCAGTCCTCTGCCTCCGCAGGGGTCCACGTGGTCAGAGCACTGTCATTACCTGCTTTTCGCAGTGCCTGAAGAGATTCTCTCGTTTCAGTCGCATCAGGCAACCAAGCGCCTGAGTGAAACTTTGCAGTGGTCCAAACTCACTGTGACAGTATGGTCCTCATTATCCAGCTGTAGCTCCTGCTGTGTCCACACACCAAAATGAGAATAAAGAGTTGACAGTTGTGTGTTCTTTTTAATTATAACCCCCCCTCCATTCATTCTGTCAGACAGTTGTCATTAGCAATTTTACTGTGAGCATTTGCTTTTCCATTACACGTTTTATGAAATTCAGATTATTTTCAGAATTTAGTATGAAGCATTAGATTTAAAGCTGAAGTATCATATGAATATCAATTAAATTCTCTGTTATCAATTAATGTTATTTCTTGAGAACTCTCAAACATATTTCCAAGATGACTTAGTGCATTTCTGCTACACTTTAATTAAAAACTTCTGTTAAGTTACTTTAGCCTTTTGGGTTTAACCTATTTTAAAAAGTTTAGATCCATCTAAAGACTTTCTTGACACCTGCACAGCTTCATACAAAGCATCTCGTGAAGACATATATGTCCTCCACGTGTATACTTCGCATGTTAATACCAAGAGCTTTTATAATAACATGTTGCTGGTAAATAAAATCTTGATTAAAGATAACAGCTTTAAATTCTACCTTTATAGGAAAATGCCGGGAGCTGCCTTGCTACAGTGTTGTATCCGAAGACAAAGTCTCCGCCTGTTGTCAGCATCAAGTGCACGCATACCAAAGACCAGAAGCAAATCCAAGAAGAGGACAACAGACTTTACCAAAAAATTAGGCACCAAACCAAACCAATAATTGGAAACAATATCCCAGGTATATTCCTCCAAATAACCAACTGTATTTCATTTTATCTCAAAGAGTCTGGGCACTTTTAAGAACACAAGCAAATGTACCTGCATTTTAAAAAGTAGACACATATATTTACAATAGCACCCTAAAACCATGGAGCTAACTATCAAAACAATTCCACCTTGCCAGTGATTCTTGGGGAGAAAAAAAAACGTGCTGCGTTTTAGCAACAACAGTAGTCAGCACAATGTTGTGAAGGTGTTTGGGATTTAAAAACAAGCCTATGCAATTTTATATTCAAGTAAATGCAAAATGTCCTCAAGTAAGAACAACTGCTTCAACCCACACACCTTCCCCAGCTGCAGGTGGAAATTCACAAGGGATGACTAACAGAATTTTTCCATCCTGAAAGAGCGTCCCAGTCCCTCTTTTCCTCCCGGCTAGGTAAAGACCTCCATTACTGTGGGTGCTGGGTTTCTCACCTCCTTGTGGGGACCCTGTGAGTAGTGTCTCTTGGCAATTTCAGTTCCGTCACGCTTTCATACTTTTACTGTGACTGCAGGTTTAGCATCATTCTCCTCCCTGTTCAAGATTGTAACACGTGTGAGGGAAGAGTCACTTCCCAGGAGTAGCGGTACACCAGGCAAAAGCGTTCTGTGGTTTATCATTTTTCTGCTGAACAGTCAGAATTAATCATTTTTAAATTACTCTCTTTCCCCCTTGCAGACAGCTATGGCAACATTGAACCCGCCCTGGAGCCAGCGTGGGCCTTGGCTGTTGCTGGCAGCAGTTACATAATGTGGGAAAAGTCAACGGAGAACTTGGGTTACTTCATGGCACAAGTCACATCTGTGAAGCAGTGGGTAAGCGAAGTGGAAATCACACGCCTTCGTTACAGAAGCTAACAGACTCTACCAAGCAGCAGAGAATAAAACCACCAACAGCTCACGCTCTCTGCAATGGGTGTGATTCTCCCAAAATCCCAGTGGCTTCTCCATGCAAGTATCTCTGGACAATTTTTGTCCAGGTTTTGGTGGAAAAGTTTTACTCACTTGGACAAAATCTGGTTTTCCTTGTTTGCATGAGTGGGTCTGTTGGCTTCTGCAGGTTTAATCAGGAGATTTGAACATACGATCCTGCCCCATACTAAGTCGCTCCTAGTACCCTTTGCCCTCCTAGCCAAGCTCGAAGGTAGCATCAGTCTAGTACCTGACATACGCTCTCTGGGAACATACCTTACACCCGCAGCATATAGAACAGGAGTTCCCAAAGCTTTGTTTCCCTCAGTCATCTGTGATCGATAGACAGTGTTCAGTTTTTACTCCCTAGTTACTTAGAATGAGATTGCTCTGAAGGAGAGATTAATAGTCAGGTAAGATTCTCAAATTTATATGAGGGTTAAACTCAATTAATTAGCATCTGAGTCAGCCTAGTTTCATGTCAGAGAACAGTCAGAGTGCAGAGCCACGCTGCAGTTAGTGCCTTCAAAGCTGCTCTGCAGGAAGTGCTCCTAATTCCCCGTCTCTCCACCTACAAAACCCGTCTCACTCCAGCCAATGACCACAGCCATCTCGAGCCCTATTCATCTCACTCCCTAAGCAAGCTAAATGCAGTTAAGTAAATCAGAGTAGACTCTAAACTTCAACAATATAACTTGTGTTCTTGATAATTTTTTTCTTTTTGATACATGCCCAGATAAGGAAAGATGATTTTATTGAGTTTGACTACACTGTCCTACTCCATGAAATTCCAACACAGGTAAGAAAGCAAGCATACGTGTAATACCTCCTTTCATCAACAGAGGAACAGTATAAAGATCATAAAAGATGTGCATTTTTAAATCTGTTCTCCAGGAAATTATTTCATGTCACATGCGCCTCACTTGGCTTCCTGGTCACCCTCTGAAAGTGAAATACTTCTGTGCTTCAGAGAATCAGGGGCTCGAAGATGGATCTGGAATGGAATCTGGATCAGCTGCTGGGATTTTACACGAAAGGGGAGCAAATTTTTAAAAGAGATTGTCAGCTTTATGTATATGTATTAAATGAGAAAATCCTTGTGTTAACAGACCTGGAGTTGTGATAATTTTTCTATACAAGCCAAACAGTGAATATGAATGCTTTCACTAGTTTGTTTTGTTCCAAAATTAATTCCTGTAATTCCTTAAACTGCAAGACTCATGTTGTAGAGTTCCACCTAAAAACTTTGCTACTACATATATACACAGATAAACATACACAAGTTGATTTTATGTCACTAACTTACTGTTACTTAGAGTAACACAGTTTGTAAACAAAGTTAATATATTTGGATAAAAATCGTGAGAAAAGTATTAATCTGTCACTAAGAAATATGTGTCTACTAATATTTTTTTTTTCCTCTTTTTTTGGGATAGATACATGCTGATTTTTAACTTACATCTCCAATAAAACAAATACCATTACGCAGGGTCGAGGTTGGGTTTTCATTCACGATGCTGCTGTTCCCATCTTCTCTCAGCATCTGGCCTCGAAAAGGACGCGGACGAGCGTAGGCAGCGAAGCGTCTCCCCGCAAGGCGCTGCAGAAGCCAGTAACCAGCATCTGCACGGCCCCGGCCCCGCCGGCGCACTTCCCTTCAGCGTGAGCTGACATAAAAAGTGTTTCTTCTCTCGTATTTGTGAGGGCAACTCAGAAAATATCGATACAAGGAAAACATGTTTTGTTGTCTCCTCACATCTGTCACCGGTCCAGAACACGGCAAGGCAGCGTTTGTCAGAAGTTGAGGGTGTTCTCTCAGTCTGTTTGCAGTACGGCACAGCTCTTGCTGTTTCACCTTGAACGAAAACAGAACTGCAAAGGCGGGAGGGCTCCGTGCAGGTGGATTTCCACATCTGGGTTTGGTGGGGGAACAGCCCCCTGCCAGAATACCCCATCAAACAGCTCTTACCACTGCCATGTCTTGTACCCACCCTAAATAACAAAGTCCTACTGCGAGAACGTGTTTTTGTCCTTTCGCACCAAATTCTCCGTTTGGGTTTGCAGCAGACCCACCCTCCTGCCTTTCTTCTCTGAGACCGTGCCAAACTGTCTCAAGTTCATCATTTTTTTCTCCCCATTAGCAAGATTTCTGCCAGGTTAAATTAACTCTGTATCAGTAAGTACACCTTACTTAGGAAACAGGCAATGGTCTCTGCCTTCTGGGATGGTTGTGTTCTTTGTAACTTGTGGTATGTTGCGCTATCATTGATCTGTAATCGGTAACAATGATTAAGGTATTCAACGTGAAAGCTTTGACTGGGGGATATTTAGGCTGCGTGATCTGTTAACCCCCCCAAATTCAGGCATTTTACACAAGTGTATTAGTCTGATATACTTTGACTGACTGAAGCTTTTTATATCAGCACATAATAGGCATTACAATAAATCCAGTGAAGCAGCATTTCACATACTCTTGGTGTTTTCTTTTGTGCTGATAAAACATTTCTCATCATCAAAAGCATGAAATCAGAGCTTATAATGGCAACATTTCTTAAAGAAATTGGTGATGAAAATATTTTTTAGAATTAAAACAAGAAAATAGTATGGATTTTTGCACTCTGGGGCTCTACTTTAGCAACGCACTTAACCACAAGTTTAGTTTCCTTACCTTGTTTTTGCCACTGCTCTCCGGACCTAGAACAGAGGATCAGGCACTTCCAACTTGCCAGATCCGTGTAACTTTGACTACTAACAAGCAACGCAAACCTACATCAGTTAAGAAACTGCACAACAGTAACTTCTGGACAAGTAGCAGACCTGCTGGAATTCAAAGGCAAAGTTTCCACCAGCTTCTTCAGGGCCAAGATTTCAGCCAGTGGATCAGAACCTAAAACCACACGGTTTTCACTCAAGCAAAAATTCTTGGTTACATCAGTTACATTATCCGGGTTGAGGCTCAGACGAGTTCACGCTGAATTCTTCACGCTAAAAAACCCACGTGCAGAGCATACCTGTAAGAGGTTGTACAGACATGAGAAGAGGAATAGTTCCCTTCCATCTTTGCTGCTAGGAAGAGTTCAACTAAGTCAGATACACTACGAGTGCTATCTAAAATCTGATCAAAGAAAAAACAAACCATCACGCACAAAGAAACAAAATCCAGGGCGCCCCAAAATTAAGCTTGCAGATTTTCTCCCTCGCATTTAAGTTCAGCAGACCCCGCTGTGCCCCAGCTCTCCCTCCGCGGTGCTACCCAAGGCCGTGCTCTTACCTTTGCGGAGAACCAGCACACGTCTGGCAGAATCTATCAGCCAGGAATTCAAATCATGACTGGCCTCTAATAAGCATAACATAAAAGCCGTAAATACAAATAAAATAATAACCACCCCATTTATTTCTTGCATTCATACTGCTTTTTTAAGACATCTTTGAATTTTGGTGAACGTGCTATATTTGCTTGTTTAAGAAAATCTCCCAAGGTCAGAGAACCTGCAGGGCTTTTCTTGAAACGAGTTCCAGCTGAGTGTTTTCACAGAAATAAAGCTCTGAATGTAAGGGAATCAAGAAGGATTTGGCCCGAAGCAACATCACACTCATATACAACATTATGCCCGTGTTTAGTTCGCATTTACATGCCCCTGCCAAATCTCTGACACTGTACTTTTTTCAAGGTTAAAATAAATAATTTTCACTGTCTTTCTGTGAAGGCTGAGGAAAAGAAGCCCAGCCGCTGCAGTTCTGTCTGCGTCTGGTAAACATCAACCACAATCCTGTGCCAGGAATGTAGCTGGTTTTGAATTGGAACTTCGTCCTCTGTTTACTGGAAGTCTGCAAAAATGCTGTTAAGCTGAGTAGGTCAGGAAGAGAGCACGCAAAGAAAAGTCAGTGTGCATCTTCTGATAGTAATAAAAAAAATTGAAGATAATATCTTCTCTTTCTCACCTAACTGTAACATCTTGTTTTATCTCTTCTATGAGCGAGCAAGATCTATTCAACTGATTCCCAAGCTGAGCATCATCAGCAACACGCCCTTTTGATTGTAAGATTCTAGGAAAAGGAATCTTTTGTTTGGTTTTCTAACAAGCCCATAAAATAAATCCACGTTGTTCTCAGTTTTGGAAAGAGTTAACTTCTACATACGTTACTATCAACTCTTTTCAAATGCCTCGTACCATCAGTGATAAGCAGATGTGGTGATAAGGAGGCTGCACTGACAGATGACTGCCCAATTCGTTAGGCCTCTGGAGGCTCCTAGCGACGTTTCTGAGGATGAGGAGGGAAAACTGACATTCGTTCTCTGGGCTGTAAGTGCAGGAGCTAAAGGATCTGTGCTTGGGGCACGTATGGGAAAACTGCTCAGTACTGGATGATGATTCACCCTCGTGCCTGTCCAGCAGTTACTAATTAGTTTAGTCTCCTAAACTAAGATTTTTAAACTTTCAAAAACAAAGAAACAGTAACTAGCCTAATTACAAAACAATGCTGTATCAAGTAAAAAAATAAAATTATTTTAATACAAATGGATTAAGACAAATTTCAAGACAAATTATTATCAGTATTATAACATTTCTGTATTTTGTTGATGAGTAGCATTTACATGTGAACAATTCTGTTGTAATCTCCTGGTGGCTTCTGAGAATACCACAAAGGAAGGATATTATGATGAAATTACAAGCCCTAGTCCTGCTGCAGCCTGCACTTATCCAGCCAGCCTTGATCGCTTCTGTCGCTCGGGCAACAGAGCTTTTAGAGAAGATGGTGAAAAACTGTTCAATGTACTCGGGAGGAAAAAAGTCAGCTCTTGGCTTTGCCCTTTTTTGCAGGAAGTCGTCCTGTTGCTTCAAGGTATTTGTTAATTATTTCTTCTTGAGTGCTGGGCAAGCATGGTTGATATTTACAGTATTCCATTGTATATTCACCCTTTCCCTGTAGAGTTGGAAAAGAATAATCAAAGTGGGGATGCTAAACATGTAAATCTATTCAGCAGTAGGCGACACCCTAATCTGTGAAATAATATGCAATAATCATTTACAATTAAGTATACCAACACTGTGTACTGAGGCACGCAGATATGAGATGCAAAGACATACAAACAGTATCTGAACATTGTTGCTCTGACACACGATTGCCTGTGGTTCCCACCTCATCGGTGTGACGTTCTGCTTAAAAAGTAAAAATGATCACAATATTAATAAGAACCCATTCAAGTGCTCACAGAATACCGGCACTCGTGTGTCATGAGATGTAGAATAGCAAACTTTACCTAACGCACAAACTCACCTGATTCAAATGAGCGTATAACTACAGGCATATATATTATTAAAAAAGGACATCTTAATAACGTGAGCACTGCTGTCAAAAATCTCTTCTACTTGCAGACATTTGTAACTTAAGGAGTATGCCTCAACTTTTCCAACCTGTGAATTTAATACCTTTACTGATACCTATCATTTTGTATTACTCACGACTTTGAATCTCTTCCCTCCACGAACTATGACAGAATTTTTTGGCCGGAAATGACATAGCTAATGATAGCTATGTTAACTAAAAAGCAGTTAAAGTAACAGTAAAAACTCTAAGGTTATTTTCCTAAGGGCATTTGTTTTGATTTTTACCGCTTTTACTGCTACATATGCTATGTATATGATGATGCAAATTAGCACGCTTGATTTACAGAAATAAACATATTCTAGCAAAAAGAACCGAGAGTACTTACCTCTGTGCAAGACCTCAGCTCGGTGGCATATCCAAACATATCATTCAGTGGCACCTAAAATCCAAGCATACTATTCTTATAAAAAGATGTTTTTCCATCACCTTTGGGTTATCATCCAATTAATCTTAATTACGATATAGAAGTCAGTGAAATCTGGTGCTCTTTGTAAACAGTACTGATCTAATTATCTATTTTTGTAAAGTACCTCTTATTTCAACTAATCTATATTCACAATGCGTTTTCAAAAAAAAAATGCAGCAGATACCGGAGTATCCCGAATTCAGTAATCTGCATCACCAGGCAAGAGATCGTAACATTCGAAATATCTCAAGACTGCAGCTCTAAATACAATTTATGAAGCGGAAGTGACACCGCGTGTGGTTGTCACTAGCTAAGGCTCTGCTGCGATGATCCACCCTACCACCCCTTAGATGTACACTTCTATATGACCTAAGATGAGAACAAATACGTTTTTAGAAGGGACATAAAAGAAGGAACACTGAAGACAAGTCATTTGCATTTATCCGCAATTATTACAGCTAATGCAGGTAACAGCTGAAGGAAGACAGCTGACAAAAAGACCAAAAAAAATATCGCTGCGCAGGTTTGTTTCACTCTGAGGTAGCACAGCCAGCCCATCCCAAGCAACCCGACTTCTGTTCCTTTCCCTGCCACCGTGCGATTTTAGGTTAGTAAGTCGGCTTCTCTGGAGCAAGACAGATTTATAATAGGTTCCCTAACTGCACAATACACTGCCACAAGCTGAAAATTAATGTTATGCTTATCCACTAAAAAACTAACGTTATGTTTGTCCACTGAAAAACCTGGCTACAAGTTTATGCCTATTAGTCAATAAGTAAAACGGTAATGGAGTTGAAAGGCAAGGCAGGAAAAGAAAAGGTCAGGAACCAGTGAACACCACAAACCTCAGCATAAAGAGTAAAGTAACCCTCTGTGCCGTCCTGTCCTGTGATCACTCCGTGACGGCGATTAATTCCAGCTATCACTGCTCCTTGGAATTCAGTGGGTGCCATCACCTCCACTGCCATAACGGGTTCAAGTATGCGCACAGCGGCGTTTTCCATAGCTGGAGAAAACAACTTAACTAAATAATCAAACATCAAAGAACAAGCCTGGTACAATTCAAGATACCCCTATGCACAGAAAAGAAGTGTTTTATGGTTAATGCTAAGTGTTTCTTACATCAGTGGGGGAAAACAATAATCGACTATGTGGAATTCCAGCTCCCCTGCCTTTTATTCCTCAGACCGTAATGCTGGGAGGCACACAGTTTGATAGAATGTTCTTTTCATTCCTGTGTAAGGATGAAGCTGTTGGTGTTTCTTTACTCTATTCTAGGAAAACAGGATTTCCTTCATACAATTAAAGGAATTATTGTGCTTCCCTCAAAATTTCTATAAACTCTTGGATATATTGTGCTCTACACAACCGGCCAAACTTTAAATGCATCTATGGATACACCAGGCAACAAACGAACCTATAGAAAGGAGGTTGTTAAATTTAACTCCAACAATAAAGAAGCCAGCAGGACTATGCGTTCAAACAACTAGCTTTATTACCTTGCTTCAGGGCTCCTTCTCCTGCTCTGATGAAAGAGATTTCATTAGAGTCCACCATGTGATGTGCACCATCATCTAGGACGAACCGGACTCCTGATATCCTGTGCCCTGACACCAGACCTTTTTCACATGCTTCTCGGAATCCCTGTCAAATAACATCTCAAAGTTAGTAGTTTTTAGACCAAAATGAAGCTTAAAAAAAGAGTAGCATTAATAACAGCCTATAAAAGACATTAAACTTAAAAAACACAACAACAATAACCAAAAAAAACCCTTTCACAATTTTTCACAGCAATCCCGTATCTACCCAATGGACCTTCTTGCTTGATAAGATAATGGAAGAAAACAACAGTGGGGAAAACTTTTCATTCCCAAGCGTTTGAAAACTTTGTACTGTCATTCTTTGGCACCTCAGTTTGATACTAATATTTTTTAAAAACAGAAGTCACGTAACAAGCAAAGGACAAGAAAAAGAAATGTACTCGGGATTTTGCTTTGTTAAGGGACTGTATGATCAAAAATTGGAAGAATGCTCCATGTGGAAAGAACTACTCTAACCACTTGACTGAGGAACAAGACTCTTTTAAGCCTGCATGCTTTTTCCAGGATTTGGCAAAAATCTTTTAAGTGTTGCATCATGAAGTAATGATGGAATTTTTTTAGGTTGATCCATTATTATAGGAATTCAAAGATTATCCTAGGTACTACTTAAAAGTAGTACGTGATAAATTATATAATTACAGAGAGACAGAGGAAGCGTGCAGAAGAGAAGAAAAAGAATATTTGGTAATTCATGCAGGAAATCTAGCTTAATTACAGTTTCCTACACAACTGGCCTCAGACAAGTCACCAAAAAAGTTACATATTTTGGGGTTAGAGATGAGGATCGTGTGGCCACAATCAAAAGCAGAAGAGGGCCATTAAAAAGCAGATTCAACAGAAGGAGGGTGGTTTGACTGGAAGAAAGGAAAGCCTACCTTTTGCAGTGCAGCACTGCTATGGTAATAGAGCAAGCACGCATTAACAAAGAAAACAAACGGCAGCTTCTAAATTGAGTGGAAAACCTAGGAATATAAGATATTAAGCAAAGCCACACAAATTTGATTCTGCTTCCACTGAAGTAATGGGAAAAGCCTCCTTGCCTGGGGCAAGGCAGTCACAGTAAATGTGGACGGTGCAGCAGGAAAACAAGAAGAATCAGTATTTCTTGTATCGTACACACACACAAAACACTTTGTACCTTTTCAACAGCGGGCACAAATTGTTTTGGAATATTTGTGCCAATGGTTCTGTCTTCAAACTCTAATTTTGTGTAGTCCTCCGGATCCAGGGGCTCAAGAACGCCTATAACTTTGCCATACTGGCCTGCTCCGCCCGACTGTTTCTTGTGTGTATATTCAAACCTAAGAACAAACAAATCCCCCCAGAATACCATGTTACTCATTACACAAACCATGCTCTAGCCACAGTTCTCTAAGGAAAAAGTTCCCATTCTGCATTTTGCTTTATTCCATTGGGTTATGTGTAACCAAAATGGCTGAATGCCATAACCGCGGCTGCAACAACAGCTGAGGGTATTTAACGCCCAAAGAGGGAGCACCACAGTTCTTCATCTTGCGAGCGGGAAGCTGAGAGACCGTGATGAGTTTAATCTCTCAAAAAACAACTGCAAAACCAAGATTCTTCTGCGTGCAGCAAGCAACGCTAATAAAGCCTGCTTACCTTTAGGCTTGTGGACTGAATAACAAGATTTTTTGTTGTTCCTGCACGTACCCACAGAGTACTCTGGTGTAAAGTGCAGACACTGAACACGGGGATAATCAGGGGGAAAACTTGCGAATATCAACTGTTAAACGCTTTTTAAGCGAAGCTGGAGGGATCCGAGTCTCTCTAGCCCGCCTGCCCCCTGTCCCCCCCAGCGGGGGGGACGCTCGCTGCCTCGGCGGTG